CGGTATTTCTCCTATCGTGTCAGCTTATTTCGGTTAGCATAATCTTTTCACAGTTCATCCATGTTGTTGCCTGCATCAGAATTTCATTTACTTTTATGGATGAATACATTCCATTGTATGCATATAGCACATTTTGTTTATCCAGCCATCTGTTGATGGACACTTGGGTTGTTTCCATGGTGGTTGGGAACAATGCGGCTACGAACACTAGTGTGCAAGCTAACCCTTTCCTGGAAGGCGCAGGCCCACCTCTGCACTCTTAAAGTCCAGACACTCAGCTGGGTGGAGGAACAGCGTCTGACAAATAGAAAAGAACAACTGGCAGCAGGCAAAGGGTTAAAAATCGGCTTGAAATTTTATAAGCTTCGTTTCCCTCCCTTTATTTTCTCAGGGCAGACCTTTTCTTGGAATCGGGTTCAGCTCTCAGAACCACCCCATGGGTGGCTGATGGACAAAGCAATAAAGCTGACCCAGCCCTGCTCCTTTCCATATTAATGGGGCCATTTGCTCTTGTGGGATTGAAAGTCTTACAACTGAGTGACAGTTGTTCAATATTCTAATTACATAAACTTTATGTGTTATGGTTTTGCCATTTGACATATTGGATTTCATAATACGATTGAATTTGTACGTTGGAAACATGTTTATTAATGGAGACTGACACGGTTCTAGAAACAATTTATGTTAAGCTGAGTGAGTTTTATGGGAAACCCACAGTAATAGTATGGGGAAACCTAGAGTACAAACTGACCAGAGTCTTTTCTGTTTAAGTGTCACAAGAAAATTTCTTGGAGGTGAAATACATGTTTTCACTCATTTGCACACATTGTGCAATGATTGGATGTGAGATGAGGGAAGACTGGCTCAAAATAGGAACTTGCTGAGGTCAAAAGTCAATGGAATTGCTCTGTAGAGATTGTTTAAGGGTGGGGGTGGGGCACCGAAAAGCTCTTAAATAGTCTGATTTTATTATCTTTTTCTTTCACAGTGTTTTCCTGGCTGTGGCTTTAAATATTGTACTAGTTAGCAGAAGCTTCAGGCTTATATTTTTTTCTGGAAAATGACTAAGGTCTGCTCATTCCGATCTAGATCACTGGGTCTGGCACCATTTTTCAGGGCAGGTATGGCCTCCAAAGCGGGAAACGTGAGTTTTGCTTCTACTCAGTTTAGATCTGAATCAAACTGGGGCCCAGCCAGGAGGTTTCAATAGTTAAGTGAGGTTAGGCTTGCCCTGTCTCAAAAGGTGGTTTAAACTGGGTTTAAACAGATTTATGCAAAACTCCAGAGCAATACTAGTAACATCCAAATAAATCACAGAATGATAGTTATTTTAATCTTCTAGGATGTTACGGTTTTAAACTAGCAGAGAGCATTTGTATGCTAGCAAGGTTAACATTATAAAGCAAACAGATGGGTCAATTTAAAAAATGATTATATATTAATTTTTAAAATTATGAAGGTAATATATTATGTTATAGAAAATATAGAAAAGAAAAAAGTCTTCTCATAATTCAACACCCTAAAGCAGCTACTAATGTATTTTGGTATTTTTTTCCATAGTCTTTTCCCTTAGCATAACTATTTATTTTTTTTTTACATCTTTGTCATCATAACTTAAGGACACATTTGTTATCTTATTCTTTTCATTTAATATTGCATTAAACACTTCCCATATTTCTGTAGTGTCTTCATAGCCATAATTTTAAGTGGCTTAATTGAGGGAAAACATGCAAGGCAGAGCATTCACCTCATTCCCAGTTTTAGAGTAAAGTAGACTCTGGACATTTGCAAATTTATTATTCAAGATTGCAACTGTTCTCAAGCAATTCTGAAGGCCTAAAACCTGTGATAATTAGTAATTATATTGAAGCACTTGAAAGAATTTGAATCACAAGATTGGAGTCCAGGAGCTTGCCAGCCACTCCATGAACTGACTGCTCAATATCAGGATATTAACTTAGTTTGTCTATTCTCTATTTGTCCCATATGCATTTCACAGGGGAAATTCTTGTATTAGTTTTTGCTGCATAACTAACCACTAAAAATTTGGAGGCTTCTAACAACACCCACTTATTTTTTAGCTCATGATTCTATGGTTGGCCGAGGTGGCTGAGGGAATTCTGGCCGGTGACTGGGTGGGGCTGGATGGCTGGCCCTGGACGGATTTACTAACATATATGGGGGTGGCAGGCTGTTGGCCAGAGTGTCTTGGTTTTTCAACACGTGACCTCTCCAGCAGGCTGGATTGAGTTCATGGTGGGGTCTCATGCTTTCAGGTCCAGAAAGAGAAAGCAAAATTCATGTGCAAGCATTTCTCAATCATTTTTCAGTGAGCTTGCACCATATCTGCTAATGTTCCACAGGCCAGCCGTATGGCCAGGGCCAGACCAAAGGATAGATATATAGATGTTACCCTCTTGATGGGCAGAAAAGCAATGTCACATTGCAAAGGGGTGGGTATGCGTATTGGAGTGGAAAAAATCACTGTTTGCAAATAAACTAACACAATTTCGTATAAAAAAATATGGTTCCATTTGGGAATCTGTGCAAGTCTTTGACAGATTCATCCAGCTATCCAAGGGCTACACCACTTGTGACTTCTGGGAAGGGGGAGCTTCTAGATATGGGCAAGAATTATAAATAATACTTTAATGAACTTCTCTGTGTATAGTTAAAAATATTTTAAGTTACTTGGTCATGCTAGATGATTCCCAGAAGAGGAATGAACTGGGGCAATGAGAATGAGAATTTTTGTGAATTGTGTGCTGTCAGCAGTATTATGATTATAGATGTGATTACCTGTTTTACTACACTTCAGTTAGCACCGAATGGTATCATTAACAAAATTTGCTAGTGAAAAGTTAAAAAATGTTTCCTAATTTCTAGGGGTGTTTATTGGTCTTCTAGGGCTACCGTACCAGAATACCACAGAGTGGGTGGCTTCAACAACAAGTACTCATTTTCTTACAGCTCTAGTAGGTAGAAGTTCAGGATCAAGTTGTCGGCAGGCTCCTGAGACCTCGTGCCTGACCTTGCAGATGGCGGTCTCCTCGCCGGTGTCCTTAGGTGGCCTTTCCTCTGTCTGTGGGCCTCTCTGATGTCTTTCCCTCTACTGGTAAGGACATCAGAAGCGCAGTAAAACAGGTAATCAGGGGCCCGCCTTTAGAAATTCATTTAACCTTAATCACTTCTTTAAAGACGCTATTTTCAAATACAGTCACATTTGGGGTTAGGGCTTCGACACATGAATTTTGTGGGAATTAAATTCAGTCCATGGAAGGGCGAACCTAGGTTTTTTGGGGCCTGAAACTTTTATGGTTTTTGAGGGCCTCTTTACAAAGAATATAAAATCATGAAGGCCAGGTCCTTTCCCTGGGTCTTGGAGGGGCCTGTGCAGCAAAGGGCCTGAATGAAGCCTGGGCTTCCTGACCACACGGTTAGCCCGCCTCTGCTTATTGCAACACCCGCCCTCCCCCGCCCCCTAGTAAAGACACATGCTACTCATTTGTATTTGCTGGGTATTTACTAATGATACTGGTTTTGAGTAAAGAATGGCAGGAGAGGGGTGTTCTCACTTAGCACAAAAAGTTCTCAGCTTTAAAGCTTTGGGTTTAAGCAGACATGGAGGGTTTAAGGAGAAGCAAACCACTTTTGTGTGCGCTTTGGTGACAATGAATGTGTTGTATTGCCTGTAATCTGACCTCTGCCATCTGAGCACCAATGGCTGACGTGTGATTAAGAGGGGACATATCTTTATTCTTTAGTTAAATGTGGGGCTAGAATCTAGGTTCCCCTCGGTGAGGGAACATGCCAATTTAAGTTTACATTAAGAAATAAATGTTCAATTGGTGAAGAGTGTGGAAGTTCAAAAAATTAAATATAGAACTGCTCTATGTCCCAGTGATTCCACTTCTGCGTATATATCCGAAGAAACCCTAATTTGAGATTACAGGCACCCCTATGTTCAGCGCAGCATTATTTACAGGAGCCATGAAATGGAAGCAGCCCAGGTGCCCACCAATAGATGACTGGATAAAAAAGCTGCCATACATTTAGACAATGGAATACTACTCAGCTGTAAAAATGAATGAAGTCTTACCATTTGCAACAGCATGAATGGACCTAGAGGGCATTATGCTCAGTGAAATAAGTCAGTCAACGATCAACAAATACCATATGATCTTACACAGAAAACAAAATAAATAAGTGAACAAACAAAACTGAAAGACTCAGAGATACAGAAAACAGATTGCTGGTTGCGAGAGGGAGGGGAGCTGGGGAGCTGGGTGAAAAGGTGAAGGATTAAGAGGTACAAATTGGTAGTTACAAAATAGTCCTGGGGATGTAAAGCACAGCACAGGGAATATAGTCAATAATACTATAGTAACTATGTACGGTGCCAGGTGGGCACCGAAAATATCAGGGGGACCACTTTGTAAAGTATATGATTGTCTAGCCACTATGCTGCATTCCTGAAACTAATACAAAATAATATTGAATGTCAACTGTAATTAAAAAAAAAAAAGATGTAAATGCCCCATGCTAGATTTTCTAAAAGTATTCATATAGGGAAGCAAGATGGCATTGGGTACCTTCCCAGTGTATTTGTAGAGAGGTACTGAAAAATGGAGTTTGGGGTGCCAATGACAAGTTTTGCTCTTAGAAATTGTGGATGGGCCAGGGCTGGCTGTGGAGAACGTGAGTCCTATGTCCCAGCAGAGAGTTTGCGTGGAGAATCTGCTGTTTTAGAAATGTGTTTCTGCTGCTACTCTTGCTTCCTTCCCTGTTGGATACAGGGACCTGAGCACAACTTGGGAGTTGTGGGAAGTGGGGGGAGGGGGGTGCGCGGCGGGGGCTATCACGTGACAGGCATTGCCTTAGACCAATGAGAACGTAGAAACAGAGGAACCAGGCGGAGATCATTAGCGTTAATGGTTAATGAAACGTGGGTCTTTAAGTAGAGGTTGAGGGGAGTTTGGAAAGTTGGTTTGGCAGTGGGCTGGATGGAAGGCGCAGGAGAACATGGGAATGGAGGTAAAGGAGAGAGAAATTAAGAAGAAACACCCTCATGAAATGATACATTTAAACGTACATTGATTACCTATAGAAAAGGTAAGTCTAACTTTTTTTTCCTCTTGCTAAAAAATACAGATAACTCACATAGCTATGGAGATCATTATTCAAAATTACCATGAACCTTCTGGCTCCTGGAAGTCGGCCAATGAGATTCCCAGAGCTGAAAGGAGGCCTGTCTTAACCACTGCCCTGAGTTACCACTGACACCGATACAAAACATGTAGAAAAATATTAGCATTTCCTATTCAAACAAATAGGATATAGTCTGGGGACATAGGGTTATCTAATTTTCCTTTGAAAAGATAACATTGAAGAAAGCACAGAGTTTAAACAGGAAAATCACTTTGCACAACGTGACCACCGGTCCGAACTGGAGTAGTTCCCATTGCGTGCCAAGAACAAGCAGAGTATTGTCTCAACGATGAAAAGAAAAACAGCATCTGATTTTCTAAGTTTGTCCTGAACCAAATTCTTGGTGAGAACCTAAAGATGTATTTTCTTTGTCCTTCTTTTGCCTCCCTTCTTAATTTTTTTAACCTCCCATTTTTTAATGAGGCTATCTAAGTGGATGTTGAAACAGCCTGAATGTTCAGAAAGAGTACATTTCCTACGTAAACAAACACAACCCAGCTTAGGGAGAAAGGAAAGCGGCCTTGTCAACCCTGAAGGATCCAACACATGGTAATTTTTGTAATTGAAGTATTCCAGGGATTCCAGAGTACAGGAACAATCCATAAAACGGGGACTGGACCACACAAAAACACACCCACGGCTCCAGGCGGGCATGTTTGAAAATAAGCAGGCCTTTAGCAGTGGGAAGCAGGGGGCTTGCATCAAATGATCTTTATAAATGTGCCTCTAAATGTAAAAATCTCGCCAAGCTTCTTCCAGGTAAAGATGTTGGGGGCTGGGGGACTAGAGGCTGTGAAACCCTAGCGCTGTGGAGAGGAAGACAAATAGACTGCTGAGGTCAGGGCCAGAATGACACGACCTTGGGGCTTTTTGTTTTCTTTCTCAAGGTCTTTTACATGCCTCGTTAGATTACAGTCTCAAGTCTGGGATTCCAACGGAATTCATATCCATTGAGAATTTGCTGTGCTCTAGGCACGGAACTAGATGGTTTTATTTTATACATATTCTCTCATTTGGAGTCTTCAAAGACAACATCTTATTACCCCCAGAGAAGTCGTGGCTGAAAAGATAGGATGGTGAGAGAGGTCCTAAGTTGATATGAGAGATAGTTTTCTTTGGAAGTTTCTGCCACAGTCAAAGGTGCTTTCTTGCTCACCTGTTGGTAAAATCCTTGACTGTCCAATTCTCTAAATAACTGTAATTGGGTCATTCAGATAATTTTTACAAACAGCAGGAGAGTTGTGTTTTAAAACACAGTTTATCTGTGATTTCTGTGGCGTCCATTCTAATTCCAGATGGAGTCCCGTGGGTGCCAGGATCCAGATGAGAATTTTGGCACCTCCAAGGATAGGCAGGACCTAGGAAAAGAAAGACCCTGTTATCTTTCCATAGAGGCGGCCATTTAACCTCTCGGGGTTGGAAGGCAGGATTTCCTTCGGTGTAAGTGGTAGCTTTTGACTGGCTGCAAGGGCTCCCTCAGTTTGTTTAATTTGGAGTAAAGTTTTATGAGTTAATCTCTAGTGAGGCAGAGCAGCAGTAAACACAGAACATACTGGTCATTATTCTAAGTATTTCTACATTCTTTCTCATGCATGAAAAGAGAAAAAAATTTCCAAAAGAAAATGGGGAGGCATAGTGCTCAAACATGTGTGTGTGTGTGCGCGCGCGCGTGTGTGTGTGTGTGTGAGATTTTTGTTTTGACCAAACCATCTGGTGTACAACATATCCCAGGAGTATGAAGGCAAACATTTACCAGGAGATTCACATGGTTTCTGCTGTGTATAAACATATTTGTGGAAGACTCTTATGTTTCTAGAAAGTGGAGATAAACATAGATCTCCTTTGCATATCTTAGCACAGTTCAGTCCTTTGCAAACCGGACTGTTGTTTATTTTAGTGGGCTTTATAAACTCAGGTGGGTTCAAATGCCAGAGAGACGCACACAGGCTGGAAACGATCAGCGGCATACCCAAGGAAAACTACCTTTCTCCTCAACTTTAATAATATGAGCAAGCAATTCAGGGATATTGTGATACGATTGTGTGCTGAAAAGTGGATTAAATCTCTATTAAGTCACAACATAAATAAAACCTAAACGAAGAATCTTAAAAGTGAACTTGAAATGCTCCTAAAAACAAAGGAGGTAATTTACCTGATTTATTAGGGGAGAGAAAAAATAGCTTGGTGTGTGTTCTGTGGATTTCGTGTTTAATGGGACAGACTTTAAGGGAAACGGCTGGGAATTGGGGAAGCTAACCCAAGAGCCCCTAGCATGCCAGCTGGATTTTTAAGGCAACAGAAGGAGGGGAAAAAAATCATGCGTCCATCTATTCAGTCAATTAACCAAACAACCAATCCACCAACCAAACAAACGCACGCTGAGTGCCCAGACCCTTGCGAACACGGCTATTGTTTCCCAAGGGGATCCTGGCGATCAGAACGCCATCCTGTAAGGGAGCAGAACTTCAACTTCAAAAAGGCAAAGGGAGATTTATTAGGAGGCACGCAGGAGGCTGGAGGGGAAGGTTGCTTGTAGCTGGACCTCTGCTCTTCTCATTCCCAGGACTTTGTATTGTTGAAAACCCTCCAGTGAGATCCAAATGCAACTTTGGTTCCTGTCACCTTAGCTGCCGCTAGTGCATTTTGCACAGCCATCTCTCTGAAAAGTTCAGGATGGAAGGCACTCCCTTTAAAGGTCTCTCAATTCTCCCTAAAGAATAGGCCACCTCTTCAGCTTCGTTGTGGGGTGGCGACAGGGTTGCTGGGAGGCGTGCTTTTGGCTGGTCATGTGTCAGTGGGCAAAGGGTGTCACTGTTTCCTCATCAGTAAAGTGGGGCAGCTGCACTGTAAGGCCCTTTCAGCTCTGAAGTCCTGTGATTCTCAGTGGACCAGAAAACCTAGCTTCTGAGCAAACACACTTCAGTGGAGTGGAGTGGGAGAGCCTGCCAACGGTCATGCTGCAATGGATCGTCACTTCCAAAAAGGATTCGAGACAGCCTCTCTCTTCTGACAACTGGACTCTGACGTCTGATAAGGCTGTGGGCTTTGGGAGGGCACCGGCCATGCTGTCTTCCTCACTGTCGTATGTCCAGTGTGCCAGGCACAGAGCAGGCAGTCAAAAGGTGTTTATTGAGTCAATCAATAAATGGGTGAATAGAAACAAGGGACTTGCTAAGAGGAACTTTGTTTTGAGAGTGCGGCTCGCTCAGTTCTGTGGCATGGAACCCCGTGCAGTCAGTAAGCATGAACATCACAGGGAGGTGGGCAGGTGCGCCAGCATGTTAGAGGAGGGGCTGGTCACTTGCAGGTCCAGGACAGAGGAGCTGAGGGCTCTCTTCATGCAGCCTTCTCTGAGCAATGGAAGGAAATCTGCCTCAGAGGTAATCTCTTGGCCTGGGCTTTCTAGGACTTAACATTGGCTCTAGCCCCTGAATCAGTAGCAGCATCTGTTCATACTAAAATGAAGTGCCAGTACCCTGACTCTGTTAGTGGACAGACCGTCCAGAGCGGACAGACTGTGAGCCTGGCTATCCCATAGAGAGCTATGTATAAATTCTCCAAAACCAAACCAGACTAAAACAAACCCCCCACACCGTGATACTGCCTCTTAATGACAATATTTAAATGTGTTGTATTATGGGAAAATTTAAACATAGACAAATGTAGAGAGAAAAATATAATAAACTCTCTTTGTACCCACCATCCAGGTTCAATAATTACAACTCATGGCCAATCCGGTTTGGTATATAGCTCCCCAATTTTCCCCATTCCCTAGAATATTTTGAGGGAACTCTCAGACTTGATATTATTTCATCCATACATATTTTAAAAGGCCATTTAGAATATTGAACCACAAGGTGAATAGTAAGAGAGAGAAAACAAAACAAAACCCAACTGAAAGTAACCAATGTGCCTGTGAGCTAATGAGAGGCCTCTATAAAAAAAAAAATTGGTGGAGAAATATCCATACTCTACTCATTCTCCAACTCTGAGGCAGCTCTTAGGGATGCCTCTGGTCCCGAGTCCCCAACTCTTTGAAGCAGTAAATCAATGAAGAGGTAAACTTTCTCTTTCTTTTAAAAAAATATTTTTTAAATTTATTTTTAGAGAGAAGGGAAGGGGGGGAGAGAGGGAAAGAAACAACAATGTATGGTTTCCTCTCATGTGCCCCCAACTGGAGCCCTGACCCACAACCCAGGCATGTGCCCTGACTGGGAATCGAACCAGCAATCCCTTGGTTCACAGGCTGGCGCTCAATCCACTGAGCCACACCAGCCAGGGCAAAAAGTGCACTTTTTGTTTCCAGTGTTCTATTGCACTTCAGTAAAATTACAACGTGACGAAGAACATGTTAACGGAGGAATAAGCTAAGCTAGAATCTGGGATCCTGGTTATTGTCTGAGAGGGGATTCTGATGTTCCCATCAGCTTAGATCGTGCGTTATTGGCTCTTGGAGTGTTAGAATCAGTTCTTCAGATAAATCAGCCAGGGATTTTTAAACTTCTGGCAAAAAATTACAGGATTGGTATAGAAAAAATACTAATGACTAATTTGCCTTCTAAATAGGGATCTGGAAAAGTTTTCAGTGGCTTGTAATTTGCTTTTAATTGTCATCCCATATAAGAGGTCCATCCCCTTCCTCACCTCAGCATGAGAGGTGCTGGGGACAAGGCACGTGCATCGGTTTTGAAAGGTTGCCAACTCCTGACAGAGATTCAGCCTTAATAAAGAATGCCCAGGGTCATTTAAAAAAAAAATCCTCACCCAAGGATATGCTTATTGATTAGAGAGAGACAGAGACAGAGACAGAGAGAGAGAGAGAGAGAGAGAGAGAAAGAGAGAGAAATATTGATGTGAGAGAGAAGCATTGACCAGTTGCCTCCCACATGTGTCCCAACTGGGCA